CCGATCTGAGGGCCGTGCCGAGGCAAGCTGCCCCTGCTGACCGGGGCGGGTGCGAGGCTGCGGCTTCGGGGCTGCTGTCACCTCCTGGGGCAGAGGAGCGGGGCCAGCACTGCTCACAGGGCTCGGTTCCTCATCCCAGGTGATTCTGAACATGATTTCAAGAGCTTGATGGCATGTCGGGAGCAAACTGAGCTGGGACCCGCAGCCCTGCGTGGCGGCGATGGGCAGCCTGCGTGCGCCCTGCCCCGGTACCTCCCTGCTCCAGCCGCCTGCGTCTCCTGCAGCCCAGGGCGGCTGCTGCCTCCGCACACCCTCCGTGTGCCCTCCACCTCGTCCAGCCTGCAGCCTGGCAGGAGGGCTCTGAGCAGGGGAGCACCGGTTATCACCGATTCTCGCCTGGGCTGGTGTTCCTTTGCTGGGGTGTTCCTGCCCATCCGGAGCGCACGGGGCCGGCAGGCCTGTGGGGCTCTGTCTGGATGACCTGGTGATGACGTTTGTTCCCTCAGTTTCCTTTAAACTGCTTATTGCCAGTACAAAATATAATAGGAATAACTGTTGCATGGGTGTAACTGCTTCCCGGGGAGCCGGGGCTGTGCTCAGCCGACGAGTACACACTTGATGTGCCTGCTGCAGAATCTCCTCTCCCACCACGGAGCATCCGTCCTGCGGCTGGGCTCTCTGTGCCGGCAGTGGGGAGTGTGCCACTGAGCCTGGACCAGCTCTTTGCACGGACAGTCAGGAACTGCGGGGACACGGGGGGACTGGGGTAACACAAGCCTTTGGGGATGGGGGGTGACGGAGGAGCACACTGGGGAGCTGTCTGGGCCAGGCTGGGCTCGTGCCACTGGGACAGTCCTGGCCAGATACAAACTTATGAGATGCTTCCACATCCTCAGGAGCACTTGTCCCTCAACTGGGACCTCTGGGCTGTGACAATGTCCCCCCACTGCACAGAGAGGAGCATGCTTGGGAGAACACACCCCGCACAGCCCCAGCATTGCCTGAACATGTTTATTTTGTGCCTCGAACATCCCTCGGGATCTGTCTCCCTGCTGCAGCATCCTTGCACACCTGCGGTGCACATGGGCCAGGTGCAGCGTGTGGCCTTTGGAACGAGGGTTGCTGCCCGTGGGAGTTACAGAAGCAGCGCTTCCATCCAGGACTAGAGGGTGCTCCGAGGACGTGTTTGCTGGGTGACGAGCGGCTGCCCCCGGGCTGGGGCTGGGAGGATGCTCAGGCTGCCCCTGCGCTCGGCGGGGTCGGGCGCTGTCCCAGGGCCAGCTTCTCCTGGCACTTCCTGGCCACAAACTCCAGCTTGTTCTTTGCGAGCTCAGTGTCACGGGCTGAGATGTCACGGTGCCAGACGGCGCGCACGGTGTGTGCCGACCAGGGGAACAGCAGGACGCTGACAGCTTGGCCGGTCTCTGCCAACTCCTCCTCGCTCACTGCCCACAGGTGCTCGCAGAGCTCTGCGGGGGATGGCCAGCCCCCCCTGATGCTCACCATCACGATGTTTGTCTCCACCGCCACGAGGTTGACAGAGCAGAGGGGCGAGTTCAGCTGTTGGATGCTGGGGGGAGGCAGGGGGG